TGGCAGTTCCGAGCCCTGGCACCTCTGGGCTTGGCAGTTCAGAGCCCGGCACCTCTGGGCCTGGCAGTTCCGAGCCCTGGCACCGCTGGGCCTGGCAGTTCAGAGCCCGGCACCTCTGGGCCTGGCAGTTCAGAGCCCGGCACCTCTGGGCCTGGCAGTTCAGAGCCCGGCACCTCTGGACTTGCTGCATCAGTTCTGAATGTAAAAAAATAGCTTGAGCCCTGGGCCCTCTTTCATTACAAATTAAGCACTGCATAAAACCCAAGATTTCTGACCCGTCCAGGACGGAGCCCGTGGTCCTTGTCCACATAATTTCCTGGCTTCCCGATTGCATTTCCCCCACCCCCACCGTGCCCCAATACTGCTTCTGCCATAGGGCAGATCCCCTGCTGGAGCCAGTTCCCTGAATTCATGGCCCTTATATGTCCCTTATGAACCCGAAGCACTCCAGGAAACCCGCACTTTTGCAGCGTTCCCATGGTGCTTTAGAGGCAGAGCAGTGAAGGTTGGCCCGGGCTCCAGGAGGGGGCTGGGTGGGAATGGGAAAAGGGTGAAAGAAGGTATCAAGGGGCTTTCCTTGAGAGGCAGCAGCACTGCACCCACAGGGGAAGGCCAGAGCTCACGTCCTTGCCACCTAGTCCTTTCACACAAGACACGTCTGGAAACTACGGCTTGTGAGAAAAGAGAACAACGGGAGCAGCTGCAGAGTCCGCCACAGCTTTTCCTTCTTCTCCTTCAATGCCGCCCCCATGAACTTGGTCCTGCAAACTGGCGGCTGATTGCAAGGGGTGGAGGCAGCAGGTGGGCTCTGTGAAAGCCCACCCAGCTCTGCCTCTGCAGGTCAGCCCCACAAGCCCTATTCTAGGCGCCTCCTGAGCAGCGCTGGTCACGATGGATGCAGCCAGACCCAGTGGGTGTGTCTACACCACACCCTAAGCCCAGGCTCTGACGCGGGTTTGTGTCCAAGGGCCGCTTCTGTTTGCACACAAATCAGTCCGACTCAGGTCAGCAAGGCCTCAGGACCCTGGTCCTAGGACCCTTCTAGGGAGTGGGTCAGAGCTTGAGTCCTGCTAAGACTCGGGTCCAAGCCCTGTCATTTTGCAGAGTGGACACAGGTCAAGCAGCAGACCCAAGTCAGAAGGTCAGGGTAGTGCAGTATGGAGGAGTTAGCCTGGCTGTGAGACCTTGGCCCAGTAGCTATAAACCCAGGTTTACAATGCAGTGTGGATGCTCAACATGGGCTTGGAAACACAGGTTTCCACAGACTCAGGCTTGGTGTGCAGTCTAGATATACAGATGCTCCCTGACTTACGCAAGCATTCCATTCCGGAATACCTTGCGTAAGTCAGGGACGTATAACCGACAATTACACATACACACACACACACACGCACACAAACACACTTACGGAACTTTTTCCATAAGTGCGGGTTTGCGTAAGTCGGGTTTGCGTAACCCAGGGAGCGTCTGTACCCAATGTGGCCAGGCACTTTACAAGCATACCATACACAGCTCAGTCAATCCACCAGTCTTACTCCAGCCCTGGGCCCCTGGGACACACTGGCACCTTGGCAAAGGGTCCCCAGTTCTTTGCAAGCAACTCTGGTCTCAGACCTGACAAACTCACTAAACCAAACACACTTCTTGCAGGGCATTTATCCATCAAGAGTAACATGTAAGGTATCTACTGAAAGTTCATAACTTGGCAAGACTCAGAATCATTGTGAGGTGTGTGTACAGGTGATATTTAAGGACAATGTAAGTATATGGAAAGTCTGCTTTATAGTTCGTTATAATTAATGTTAGTCACCAGGGGCTATCATATCTCAGTGATGGTCCATTCAAGCAGGAGGGAGTTATCACCCCTCCCTGTTTAGCTGGTGATGTAATGCAAGGCTTGGTTGTCCAGCCTTGCTCAACCCCAAGACTATCAATGGAAAACCATCAGGGACAGCTGCAAACAGTCGAAACCAGTTGGAGATAAAAAGGGAACATTACAACAGATTAGAGAGCTCGCCCTGTCTATGAACAGAGACAAGACTTTTTCAGTATAACCCTGAGTGGAGACAGGCACCCTAGATGCATTCACTGAAGAAACATCTTGTATAATGGGGGTGTTTTAATCAAAGTTTAGTTCCTGGTTCCTATGACACCAGCCATCTCTGCAGCCTACTTTATTAGCTAGGAAAGGTAACTATTCATAAGTGTAGGCCCTACTTCGCATTCTATGGGGTTTTTTTGTACTGTAACCATTTGTTTCCACCAGTCTCTCTTGTTTCTAGATGAAGCTCTATTCCTTCTTAAATAAACCTACTTTTGTTTTATTATGAGTGCTCACAAGTGCTGGGCATTATATAGGAGCTGTGATTTAAGGTAAAATTAGTAACTGGGGGTACACTGCTCCTTGCGGGGCAGAGGATTTGGGATTTCTCTGAGTAATCAGTGTCAGGGTCTGGATATCACAGAAGAAAGGGACTTGGAGATTCAGCTGTACCGCTTGTTAACTTGCATTTCCCAGAGGAGAGTGCTTGAGTGGCTAACAGGCTGGGGGTATAGGGAGCAGACACCCAGTCACCACGGGCAAGCCTACTCACAGTCCAGGATACCCCGAGAACCGTCACAGCCTCCACCCAGCGCCAGTATCTCTCAATCCTGGCGGAGAAGAGTTCTACTATTCCAGTTCTGCTCTCCTCACTCCTCTGCCAATCTACATCAAACAGGCCCACAGCACCTCTACTCTTCAGGTCCACCCCCATCCCCAGTCTGAGTCAATGTACCTTTATCTTGACCTTCAGCCCTTCTGCTCTGTCCATAGTGGATCCCGGCTGAGCAGAGAATGCCAGCTCTGTGATAGTTTTTGCAATGAGGAGAGGAGATTCAGGCCCTGACCCTGCAAACAAAAAACATGTTTGACTTCAATGGGTCTGCTCACATCAGTAAATTGTGCATGGGCTTGTGTGTTTATAGGAATATTCACTTTAAATCTCAGTTCCCCTTTGAGGTGAAAGGCGGGTATGTGCTGACTCCGCTGGGCCATGTATTTTCCCCAAATGTTTGGGAGTGTCCCCCTGCTGCAATAAAAGCATCTGCAGAGACCTGACCGCTCTCTGAACATCCATCCAGAGAAAAAATATTTGGGAAGAATTTACAGCTTGGATTAGTGACAGCTTCTGAACTGTAGCTCAAACTTGCCACCTGGTGGCAGACTCCATGAACAGAATATTTTGCTCTCTCATGGCCATGGCCCCATGAGATGATGTGCCGTTTTAAAAAGAAACTTTTAAAGAACCACCTGTGCTTCCCATAGCCTACGGAATGCCTCACCCCATTTCTACACAGAGCCCTGTTCTCCCAACAAGGGCAGAGACTGAGGGAATGACTGGGCTGATCTCATGAGACTTAAAGGCTGTCTCCTCTTTTACAGCAGCAGTCGCGTATTTGGGCAAGAGATGGACAATCATTGAAACAGATCCCTAATTCCTTTCAAGGGTTTCATCAACCAGTGTGGAATGTAGACGTCTACCTCTGAGTCTTGGCTGCTGAGACTGTTAATTACGCTGTGAATAGCCCTGGAAATCCAGGAAGAGTGACAAATTAGACAAAGTTTGTTTGCAATTTACAAATAAATACCTAAAAATCTGAAACAGTTGAAAAAAAGCCTTTAAAATAATGATCAATATCATGATGGAACTTAGGTGGGAATTAGCTTCCGGCACTGGGACAAAGGACTATCTTAAGAAGACACTCTCCTCCTACAGTCCTAGGACCAGGGCATATTGGAAAGTTTAAATCCAAGCTGCTTTTTAGGTTATCCAAATGTGCATGTGTGTGGGAGGAGGGGGGAATAAAATCAAAACATGGTGACTGACATCATTAGGTTTTACACTTGCATTTTTTTACAGTTGGAACACAGACAAAAAACCTCTCCCCTCCCACCACACACTTTGCAAAAGATGATGATACAAAAATGTACCAGGAAAGGCCCTGATCCTGCAAGGACTTATGCATAGGCCTAATTTTATGCACCTGCAGTTTTAGGAGCCTGCTCACCGTGCATAAAAGTAAGCACATGCATAAGTCTTTGCAAGACCGGAGCCCAAAGTAGTTTTGAAGAACAGAAAATTATAAACAGTATTGTCAACCAGACTGTCATGTTTTATAGGGCAAGTTCTGTGTTTCTAGCTTGCTCACCACTGACACATCCTGACAGAACACTTGGGCTGCAGAAACGATCCGCGTGACATGATGTTTTTCATGACAACGCAACATTCCATTCAACATCCCGTTTCAGCGCTGCACCACCTTGCTTCCGTAAAGCACCTCCAACTTACGAAGTGGTTTCAAAGAGACATTGCATGTGACTCTGGAACATTTACATGTGCCATGGGAACATTCCGAAGCGGCAATGATCACTTTGTGGTGGGCTTGGCATGACCTCATCATGCGTTGTGGTGCTGACATCGTATGTTGATATGACATTATCGGACGGTTGTGTCGACATCATATTCTGATCTGACGCCATCACTTTCTGACGCAGCGAGTTCCTGTGTCAGAATGACATCATCGACGCTGAATGCTTTGCCGCCATTGCCCTGCCAGCATGCCCAGGCCATATATTGGCACTTCAGTGTCTTGAAGTCGTGACACCAGAGTCTGGCTAAATAGAGGAGCTGAGGCTGAGGCCTCTCTAAGCCCCAGCGCCTGAGGGGCGCCTGTGAAGGAAAGAGAACTACAATTCCCAGGAGGCAGTGCCGTAGTGTCTCATACTGCGCATGCGTGCCTTCCTCGCGTGCGCTCGGCTTCCCCCGATGTCTCGCCAAGCCCCGCCCCGCGGTCCCAGCTTCCGCTGCCGCCGCAGCACGTAGCGAGCTCGGGGAGAGGCCGGGTTTCCGATTCCGGCCAGCCTCGCTCTGGTCCCTGCGGCTGGCTGCCGAGCCTTGTGCCTCCGCCATATTGTCTGTGTGAGGCCGGTGGGGAGGGAGCCCAGCGCGGCGGTCGCTTCAGGTACCGGCGGGCGGGGCAGACCCGAGCCCTCCTCCCGGGGCCCGGCGGGGCGGGGACGGGGAATGGGGGCTACGACGGAGGGGTCCGTCCCCCCCAGCCCGGAGAGGGGAGGGGGCGCCCCTGGAGAGGAGGGGCCCCTCCCCGCTGTGTGGGGGGCCTGGCAGGGGGGTGCCCTGAGGGGAGGCTCATCCTCCTCGGGGTGGAACTCTGCAGAAGAGGGGCCTACCCCCTGCCCGGCCCCGCTAGGGGAGAGGGGTGGGGGAGAGCCGGGGAGAGGGGCCCAGCCCCTTCCCAGCTCTGCCTGATGGGCGGGGGTGGGCCCCTTCTTCGTTCTGTCTGGGGGGAAGGAGTAGGGAGGGTCCCAGCCCCTCTCGGTTCTCTGCGGGGTGGAAGTGGGTGGGGGTCCATATCCTCCTGGAGAAGAGGAGCCCCTCCCCATCCCAGCTCTGCTGGCAAGGTATATACCCCTGGGAGAGGTAGTATCTTCCCCACTCCCCTTATCAGTTCGGGGGAGGGGGTGACTGTTCCCCTGACTGAGAGGATCTAGCTTGCCCCACCACGATGAGGGGCGGGAAGAGGAAGGGTCCATCTCTGTCTAATGCTGCTATCAGGGGAGTATATCTTCTCCCCATGTGAAATAGGATGTTGTTTCTTTTAGCTTCATTGGGGGGGCGCTCTTGCCCCTGAAGCTGTGGTTGGCCAGTCTCTTCACAGCTCTGTGGATGGCAGGGGCTTATGTCCTGAGGAAAGCTCCACCCCAGCTGAAAATTGGTTCAAAATACTTTTATTGGAATAGCAAGTTATATCACTAATGCTCAAGCATGTGATTTTTTTTTTTTAAAGAGGACCAATTGGGTAAGAATGTTTAGGCCACATACATTTTTCTAGCCAGTCTTTCATTGGAAACAATGGGAGATTTATACAAAGACTGAGGATGGAATATGCTTCTTATATGTTAGCTAAACTTTTAGGCCCTGATCTTGTGTCAAGGTCCAGTAGTGCAGTCCTCTGTGCCCATGTGGAGTCCCATTGACTGCAGTGGAACTCTGCAATGATGCAGGGCTTTGCACTGTTAGAACATGATGCAGGTTTGAGGGGCTCAAGAAAGTTACTGTTGTAATCTGCATCATTTAGTGGGGAGTAAGTGGTGGAGGGCACTGCTAGGACCACACTACTCCTGTTCTCTTTTGTTATGCTCGTTTCACGTGTAGTTACCAGATTTGTTCACATAAATATGGTAACTGTGCAAATTTGGTTCACAACACTACCTAAATTATTTGGAAAAAGCGGCCCATAAAGTGTCATAATCAGGCTTAAGAGTCAACACCCCATTGAGATGACTGGGGGACAGTTCACACCTCTCCTAGAGTTGCTGTTTCAGGCTACTTGCAGACACCTAGAGACAGCACAGCTTTTCAGGTGTTTATACTCAGGCCTGGCCTAGACTAAAAAATTATATCTACCCAGCTACATTGCTCAATGGTGTGAAAAATTCACATCCCTGAGTGGCATAGTTAATATGACCAAACCCTGATGTACATAGTTCTAGGTAACTCTTCTGTCAGCCTAGCTCTCACCTCCCAGGGAGGTGGATTACTTGCACCAACAGGGGAACCCCTCCCTTCACCGTAGGTAGTGTCTACACTGAAGCGCTACAGTGACCCAGCTGCTATAGCATTTCAAGTGTAGACAAGCCCTCAGTTCATGTTTAGAAGACTGTCTTTGTAGACAAAGGTGCTAGAAATATACTCTTTAAAAAATAAACACTTTAAATATGCAGAATCGGATATTCATGGGGCCATGTGATACCTGAGGCAGGCAAGATTTGCCCATGGGTTGGGTGTTTGGCTCCACTGGCCCAGACCATGGACATCTGTAATAGGTAGGTATCAAACATCTGTCCCGTATATATATCCCTCTTCTGTTGAGACACACACATCTGACAGAGAGGCAAACTCCATTTCATAGTTATCTTGGGGGTAGATGGATCTGTGAGGAGGGTGGGTTTACATCCCCCTGTGGTGATGGAGGGCCTACCTGTTCCTTGGACAGTTAGGTGTCAACCTCTTCTCACACCTGTAGCAGAGAGGAATGTATTGCCTAAGGGGTGAGGGTGGAGTTCTTCCCAGCTCTGAGGTGGGGGTGTAGCCCTTTGAGGGGTGGAGGTCAGGGGGTCCATTCCCTTGCAGCTCAGAGGTGGGGGAGATAAGTAGGGTATGTTTCGGGTGGATATAGGTTTTGATATTTTCTACATATTAGTGGAAACTACATCCTCCAAAATCTTGGCATGGGGAGGTGCAAAGCTCTTGGGGTGCTGATAGTATAAACTTCTGTGTTTTTCTAAGTAGGATGTGTCCTCTGAAGAGGAATCATTCTTTCAAGTATAATCCCATAATGGAGTGGGTGGTTTGTACTGGGAAGGTATTAATCCTAAAAATGATTTGAGGGAGGTTATAAAGAGAATTCCAAAACAAGGGGGTGAATCTGCAGTGGGGGTGGGAATGTGTCCTGGCAATGGCTGTGGTAAAAAGAGGGGGGGAATTTGACATCAGTGGAGAACCAGGTGATCTAGTACGGCCAGGATTAGATGTAGTAAACTGAAGGAAACTAGGTCCTGGATGGAGAAAGGGTGGTGAAATTGCTGATGTGGAGGGGAAGTATTTCATGGAGAAAACAGGGAAATACATTTTGGTTGGGGTGAAACATAAGGTAGAGGTTATATAATAAAAATGGGAGGAGTAGATCCTGGGGGAACATCCATGTGTGGAAAAGGGATTAGACCTTCGGCAGTAGGTTGTGTGGTCAAAGTGGAGGAATTAGATATTAGGAAGGAGCTGGGGCAATGGAGATGAGGGCTGTAGTAGTGATGGGGAAGGGTTGCCACTTCATAGTCAGGAGGTGTGTGAGTTGAGAATGAAGATGAGCTCCTGGGGCTGGGGTGCAGGGAAAAATTGTAGTAAAGGTACTTTCTCAGGGTAGAAGAAGAAATTACTTTGAGTGTTAAGGATGTGATGGGGGGGATTCGCTGAGAGAAGGAGTGTGTTAACCAAATGAGGATGTGAAAGGAGTAAGAGTAGGTGACAGAGTGGAGGTGTGATTAGTTTTCATGCCTCATGTTATCTCTAGGGAGGCATGGGAATCTATTTCTGGGCTATCAAATGTGTCATTCTTTTTATCCAGTGATAGTGAATTGCTTATATTAATGTGTGTCCCTTATGGGGCTCTTGGGGTGGGGTTGAGCTCTTTCTAGTGAGAAGTAACTCCTAGATTTTTAAGTCCAGAAAGGACCATTATGATCATCTAGTTTTGTTTACAAGGAAACTGCCTCCTATGAACTCCCCTGGTGCCAAATGCACCACACATAGTAACCAAAACCTTAGTCGTCCTCCTTGATGACTTCTACAGTGTAGTTGTGAGTGGTTGGTACAAAATTCTTTAGCTTATATTGACAACTAATAGTGGGGATACTGTAGAACAAATTGAGTTTAATATAAAAAACAAGAGCCACTACTGATTATTTTAACTTTCATTCAACAAAAACCTTATTTGCCAAAATTTCATTTCTTTTTTTTTAAATCTACCACAAGAGTGCCACAGATTTTAGAGTGGTAGTAGCCATTTTGGTCCCAGGATGTGAGAGAAACAAGGTGGGTGAGGGAATATCTTCTATTGGACCAACTTCTGTGGCTGAAAGAAACAAGCTTTCGAGCTTACACAGAGCTCTTCTTTAGTCCTGAAAAAGATCACTGTATAAGCTCAAAAGTCTGTCTTTCAACAACAGAAGTTGATCCAATAAAACATACTACCTCACCCACCGTGTTTCTCTCAGATTTTAGGTTCAGTTGGCTGTACAATATGGGAACCTTGACAAAAGGGAGTTCAACTTCCACTTCAGTGAAACGCCTAGGTGTTCAGAACAAGTTGACTTATGAGGTTGGTCGTTGCTAACAGCAGTGTGATCTCCACTATAGTCTACATTTTTAGGGCATTTGGGTATGTCGCTCTTGACAGAGGCACATACGTTTTGTACTGTTTTCAGAATAAATGAACCTGAGGCAGTTGGATTCACTTACAGTTAGTAGGTATGGTGAATGTTGCCAAGATGGAGGGCAGATTCTCCTTAGAACAGCAATTGACAGTTGTGTGATTTTTATTTTTAATATTTTGTATGCTAAGGATGGACTTCAGCATTCATATCCCTACCAAGTTGTAATGACTGTTGAATACTGCTAGTCTTGTGGATTTAGTTGTCTTCAAAAGTGCTGGTATGAAATGCAGAATTATCATGTGACGCATTCCTTAGTGGATACATTTCAATTGCCCGCTCTGTCTGAGAACTGCCCTGTCTAACAATAATTTTTATACAGGGCAACCTTTCCTCATACTGTATTAGTAACACAATAGCTGGCATTTAACAAACTCTGATTTATGCGGACCATGACTGTTTTTCTCCCCTTGTAGTATTTATATATAAACTACTCTGAAGTTCAAGTATCAGGTTTGTATGGGTGCAAGCTTTTTAGGGGAAAATATTTTTATGTATTGCATCTCCTGCTTTAGGATCTGGGAGTGGCACAGACTTTTCCTGTCTTAGTTTCTTTCCTGATGCTGCCTGAATGTTATTGAAAATGACTTGCAGTCACTTGGCTTGCAGTCCAGTTCTGTCCATTTCTGATGGTTACCACAAATTTTCTGTTGAACAAAGTTTACAAATGTTACCTGCTTGACAGGAACAGACAGCCATGAGGATTTCCTGAGGAGAAACATCCAAATAGTGAGATCTTTTTCCTTGTGGTAGTGGTGGTGGTATTTTCCGACTCTGCCAATACATGGGCTAGTTAAAAACTTTAAAAGCAAACAAAAAAAATAGTTAAAATAACCGTGGCTTTGCTGTGTGAACTCCAGAGAAAGCACTCTCCTTAAATAATCCATGAGGGAAATCAGGTAGGAGATTGCATATCAGTGCTCTCTTAGTATGTTTACTAATTAATGACAAGAAAAACCCAGTTTCTAGGTAGGGTATAATTTTCCAGAACTCAACTGGATGGGAGCCCACTGTTAATCCAGTCTGAGATCAGTTTTAAAGTGAATATAGAACACAAGAACAGCCATACTGGGTTAGACCAAAAGTCCATCTAGCCCAGTATCCTGTCTTCCAACAGTGGCCAATGCCAGGTGCCCCAGAGAGAATGAACAGAACAGGTAATCATCAAGTGATCCATTCCCTGTTGCCCATTCAAAGCCTCTGGCAAATAGAGGTTAGGGACACCATCCCTGCCCATCCTGTTTAATAGCCATTAATGGACCTGATCCTCAATGAATTTATCTAGTTCTTTTTTGAACCCTGTTATAGTCTTGGCCTTCACAACATCCTCTGGCAAGGAGTTCCACAGGCTGACTGTGCATTATGTGAAGAAATACTTCCTTTTGTTTGTTTTAAATCTGCTGCCTATTAATTTCATTTGGTGACCCCTAGTTCTTGTGTTATGAGAAGGAGTAAATAACACTTGCTTATTTACTTTCTCCACACCAGTCATGATTTTATAGACCTCTCTCATATCCTCTCCCCGTCTCCCCCCCCCCCCACCTCCCTCTGTTGTCTCTTCTCCAAGCTGAAAAGTCCCAGTCTTATTAATCTTTCCACATGCGGAAGCCGTTCCATACCCCTAATAATTTTTGTTGCCCTTTTCTGAACCTTTTCCAATTCCAATATGTTTGTTGAGATGGGGCAACCACATCTGCATGCATATAGTGGTGCTGAAATCTCCCTTTCTGACTTGAAGGAGCAGTTATTTACTGTTGCCAAGTGGAGAAGTCCAGCAGCTACAAGCTTGATAAAGGGTTATAGTTTGGAT